CAAGACAGGCCTGTGCCCCCTGCGCTGCTGAAATGCCCGTGGTATTTTGGGTTGCCCACACACACACACACACACACACACGCGCCAACACACATCCGGGGACCGCTTCCCCACCGGCGTCACTCAGAGCCAGCACACCCGAGCACCTGCCCGGGTGGAGGGGGCGGTAGGAAAAGGAAAAGAAAGCTGTGCCTGAAAGCAGCCTAAACAGAGCGTGGGCGTGACCTGACCTTGACCACTTGGACTGGAAAAGCGGCGCGCAACCAGCTGAACCCATTTCCTAGCTTCGGTGTACATTGTTCTTCCATTGCATTGTTGTTTGGGGGGGCCAAAATCATCCGTTTCACCGTCGACTCATGTCTGCAGTTCGTGCTGTTGGGAGCCTCGTGGCGCTTGCAGCTTGAGAACTTGTGTGGATGGTGAGGCTCGCCAATGGCCGCAACTGAGCCAATCAGCATACAGAGCAGCCGGCAGCTGTGGGTTTTGGCATTGCTGCCTGCCTATACAGATCGCAGTGAATTCAGCGCTTCCTCATGCGGTGGCACGCATACTGCAAATCGGCAGGTTCTTGGGCCATGCCAGCTGTTCGGTTTTTTTAGTCCTGGTCAACAAGACCATATCGATGTCCTTTCCTTATGTCGGCAGCCCAGCCCGTTGTTCTCAAGAGCTCTGTCGCTTCTTGGGAGCAATCGCGAAGCCCCAGGCTTGGACAGTTGTTGCTCTCCAGAACACGGGGACCATAGTGTGCTCTTGCATTCTGCATTTCAATGGCAAGGCGCGGGCCCGCCAGGTGCACTGTTGCCATTGTCTGGCCGCTTGTTGAACAGTAACTGGTCGAGGTGCTTCTCCGCCGGCTACAGAGGTCTCAGGCCCGAAGCACTCGGACAGTACCTGAACACTCAATGTCAATTGCTTTGCTGAGGAATTTAAGGCACATGATGCACGAATGTCGGACTTTTTGCAGTCTAGTTCAAAAGCGGCCCGAAAGACGGAGCAGAACCACCTAATACGGGCCATTGCATCTGACTGTGTTTCATGGCCTTGACTGTGCTGACACTTAGTCACGCAGAGGCGTCCTTCCATCGTAATTCTTTGTTGCATGTATCTGCAAGGTTACCTGAGTTTGCGTATCTGTCAATGACACACGAGCGGCTTCTTATGCGGTCCGCGGCAAGCAGAAGTGTGCATGGGTCCATGGGGGACAAGCTAGTCGTGGTGACTGCCGTAGCGAGTTTGACATGCCTCCCGCTTCTCTATCGCTGTTGCCGGGTGATACTACACCCCGGTCGAGAACAGATTTGACAGCGAGAACCACATCCATGGAGGGTTGTGATGCCAGGTGCTTCCGCTCCTCGTAGATGCCGTTTGGCTGGTTGCGGTGCCTTGGAGTTCGACGTGTTCGGTGACTGCTTGTTCTACTTCGCTAGATGTTTTGATGATGCAGGTGCTGATGAGCAGCTTCAAAGCCTTGGAGGAGGTTAGCGATTCGGCGGCACTTAGCTTGGTTCCAAGATTCGCGGCGCCGTGACCCAGCTAGAGGTGACCTCCCTGTGCTTCTCACAGCTTACAGTGTGTTCTTCGAACCAAGGCGTTCCACTTTACGCAACTTGTCATTGCAATTGCCTGCTTCCTCCCATCGGATTGGATTACTTGCGTGTAGATAAGTATAGTCTCGCGACCCAGGTAGTCATTCGCAATACTGTCCCATTTCTTACGGCCCTTTGCGAGCGTGTTGCTCTACAAAAACCCATGGACGCGATGCTGGTACTTGCGCTGTTGATCACCTTCGTCGGTACTATCCTCTATTCAGTGGCTTGGCTGATTTGTTTGGCTGTACTTGGAGATTGGCATCTGCATCGGCTTGGTCAGGTGACAGACTTTACAATGCGCTACAACGGTGCAATGTTTGCCGTCTCCAACGCGGTGTTGGTTGCAGGTATGTGCACGTACGAGAGATACCTCATGACATCTGCAAATCTTGGCATGTCGGCGATAGACATAAATTTCCATCGTGTGGTCAGAGCCTCAGCTGAGAGTGTTCAGCTGGCCTATGTGACCTGGCGTGGCCTGGATCTCGAGGTTCTTTCGATGCCGATGATCGCAAGCCTCGGCTACATGGAGGGCTTTCCAGGGACACTCCTGGAGCTGGCTACCCGAAGGCGAGGGGCTGGGGCCGACTGTGGCCGACTGCTTCAGCCCAACCGGATCACAGGTACGAAGCTTCGCTGATTGCATCCTCGGCTTTCGCTGCGTTCGGCATCGGTACGCTCCTTCTGGCTTTACAGGCCCTCGCGCCCCACACGGCTTGCATCCCGTGCAATGCGATATTGGCAGGGTCAAGTTATGCTGGAATCTGGTACGGTTCAATTTCTCATAAGGTGGGAGACTAATCTCGTAACCAATCCGCTAGATTGAGCGGGCCCTGTCGCGAAAAAGGAAAGGCCGCATAAGCAATCCGGAAAGACCGCACAAAGACATATTTTTCCATCAAGAGAGCTCATGCCCCAGCGAAAGGAGAGCACAGATGCTTTCCTATTCGATAGGGTTTTGCTGTTGGATCAGGTTTTCCTATTGCTGAAGCTGCAATTGAAAAACGGCTTGGCTTCGGCTTGTGCATGGGCTTGGCTTTGGCTTTGGCTTTGGCTT